AAATGGTACAACCACTATGGAAAACGCTATGGCACCTCCTTAAAAAGCTAGAAATAAAAATACCACATGATCCAGCAATTTCACTCCTAGAGAAATAAGAGCCACCACACGAATAGACATGTGCGGCTGGGTTCACTGCAGCGCTGTTTACAATAGCAAAAAGATAGAAACAACCTAAGTGCCCATCAACAGATGAATGGATAAACACCTATGGTATGGAGTCTGGATTCAGGGTTTGAAAGCCCCTCCGGTGGGCAAGTGACACCCCCTGGCATGCCGGAGGGACAGAGAGCTACATGCCACTCAGCCAGCCCGGCTGGGCTGAGGCCACGGCCCACCTCTCCTGGCTGAGTTGTCTGCCAAGAAAACTATAGAACTACATAAAAATCCATTCCTGAAATCCCACAGGCATCCTTAGTACGAGAATGGCCTTTAAATTAGAATGTTTGAAAAAAAGGCCGATTTTGTCTGTAACTTGTTTTCAGGTTAGCCAGACAGCCGTGGTGGCTGGAAGGCCAAGGCCACTGTGCCAACGTCCTGTGTTGTTGGCTGGAGAGAGCACCCCAGCCCCGCTGGGATTTAGTGTGTACCAGGCATGCGTTCCCATGGAAACTCTGCTGCACAGAATCCTCTGGAAATTCCTGCCGAGGAGGGGCCACTGCTTCCCACACCCTCTTCATGTTCCTGGGCTCAGTTTCCGGGGATGATTTTCTCAAGCAAGTGCTGGGTGGGTCAGGAACAGAAGGGAGGGCGAGAGGCTGAAACACACCAAAAGGGGCAGAACCAAACCCCAAGCCAGCTGCTGTTGAGTGGATTCCAACTCATGGCGACCCCATGTGTGCAGAGTAGAACTGGGCTCCATAGGGTTTTCATGGCTATGACCTTTTGGAAACAGGTTGCCAGGCCTTTCTTCTGAGGTGTCTCTAGATGGATTTGAACTGCCAACCTTTTGGTAAGCGGCTGAGTGCTTAAGTGTTTGTGCCACCCAGGGACTCCTGAAGGGGCAGAATAACCAAACCCAAACCCATTGCCATAGAGTTGATTCTGACTCATAGTGACCCTGTAGGACAAAGTAGAACTACTCCGCAGGGTTTCCAGGGAGCACCTGGTGATTCGAACTGCCAACCTTTTGGTTAGCAGCCGAGCTCTTAACCACCGTGCCACCAGGGCTCCAAAGGGGTAGAATAGGGGCCTTTAAATTCTAGCCATTTAGGAGTCGAATCATTCAACGGCACACAAAACCAGGAGCTGCTATCCTGGTGGTGCAAACAGTTAACATGCTCTGCTGCTAACTGAAAGGCTAGAGGTTTGAGTCCATCCAAAGCACCTCAGAAGAAAGGCCTAGTGATCTACTTCTGAAAAATCAGCCGTTGAAAACTCTGTGGAGCACAATTCTAATCTGACACACACGGAGGAACCATGAGTCAGAACTCACTGGGACAACTGCTTTTTTTTTATACCCTGGAGCTGCGGATGGAGCCAGAGGTGTCACAAGTAGTTTAAATGTTTCAGATGCCCTGAGGCTCGGAAGAGGGTGGCTGGGCCTGGCCTGGGAGGGCAGGGCAGGCTCCACAGAGAAATGCCCGGTCAGGACCAGGCCAGGACAGGCCAGGCTGAGGGAAGCATCGGCTAAGACCCTGAGACACACATCTGTCCCTGTGGGTGGGACGTTGGGGCAGGGTCCCAACAGAAGCAAGTAGTGCCTGAGGCCTGTCCCTCAGAGGCTTACAGGGACGTCCCTGCTAGCTTGAAGGACCGCTGCCAGCAATGCTCCTCCAGGTCCAAGTCCCCTTCAGCAGGACTCCAGCCTTCTCTCCCTGGCACACTCTCCCTGCTCTCTTAGCTTCTTCCCCTCAGCACTCCCTGGCTCCTTCTGGCCCAGACCTCTACCCCTACCCTTCCACCAGCCTTGCCCCCTACCCCTGTTCTGGCCCTGATCTGCCCACCTGGTGCATCCTTGGGGACAGAGGCAGGTAGAGGGACGGTCGCAGGCTGGGGTTCCCACCTCGCAGGGTGGCCAGGCGGCCTCCGCCCTGCCCTCAGCAGCCTGTTGCTACTGAGTGGTGAGTCGTGAAGGACACCCGCTGGTCTCTCAGCAGTTTCTCCTCCGTCCTTCAAGCACCAGCAGGGGTTTGTCACTGCAGGGGTTTGCTCCCCTCCTCTCTTCTCTCTCTTTTCTCCTCCACCCACTCAGAGTCAGACTGCAGCCTGCCCGCAAGGGGCCCCCTCTATCCCCTCCGTACCCTTCACTGCCATCCAACCTCTGCCCCTCAGCTCAGTCCCGGAGCTGGGGAACAGGGTCTCTGGCTTCCTTGCTGCATATTGGGGGCCTCAGATTCCCCCTCCACCCCACCTTGTGTCAAAGCCCCTCAGAGGGTCCTGCAGCTGCCCCAATGGGTTCTGACTACTGATGACTCCGTGTGTGTCAGAGTAGAACTGTGCTCCACAGAGTTTTCAATGGCTGATGTTTCCTAAGTAGATCACAAGGCCTTTCTTCTGAGGTGCCTCTGCCTCTCTCCTGCTCACTGCAGACCTCCTGGCCTCCCACCAGCCCTACACCCGGCCAGGCCACCACACTGGCAATATCTGTGTCCATAGAGGGGTGACAGCTGACAGGCAGTCCCGGAGGGCCGTATAGGCCACAGGAAAGAGTTGGAGTTGCATTCCAAGTGAGGGGGATGGTGGAAAGTTCTGAGCAGAGGAGGGATGTGACCTAATTTAGGTTGTGTCAGGACCCCTCTGCTGCTTTGTGGAGACTGTGAGGGCTGCACACCTTCAGGGAGGCCAGGTGGAGGTCGATGTGTGTGTCCAGACGGTGTAGTGGGGGTGGGGAGTTGGTGCAGCCCCACCAGCCTCCCCTCACTCCCCTAGGGCCGGAGGAGAAGCTGACTCCCGGTGGGGGACAGGGATCTGGAGCTGAGGACAGACAGGTTGGGAGGCAGGGGATGCAGGTTTCCTGGCTCCAGCTTTCCCGGAGGTGGGGGGTTCACCGCGTCCTGCTGACATTGTTCCTTCCCTGGCCCCCTCAAGGCTGTCAGAGTGGGGAACTGGAGGGAGGACAACCTGGGCAGCAGCTCTGTGAGAGGCAGCTTCACCTCCCAGAACAGCCTCTCCACAGCTGGGCCTCTCCACCAGGGCTTCGTTTGTTCTGGTTGGAAGCCCTGCTAAGAATTTGCATTTCTAACAAGTTCCCCACTGATGCTAACGCTGCTGGTTAGGGACCAGTTCTGAGAACCATTAGTAGAGCAGTGGTTATCAAAATTTCGTATAGGTAAGAATCACCTGGGGATCTTGTTAAAATGTAGATTCTGATTCAGTATATCTGGGGTGGAAATGCAACTTCTCAGCAGGGGTTCGAACCAAAATGAACCGGTTCGAAGCCCTGCTCTCCACACAGCCTTGTAATCCTGCCAAGGGTCCTTCTGGCTGTGTGCTTCCAGCCTGGTCCCAGACCCACTGGGGAGGCCAGAGGCTGGCATGTGGGCAGGGAAGCCCGAGACTGCCTGAGCAGAGGGTCCCTGGGAACTTCTGGGGTTTGGTCTGTCCTGCCTGCCTGCCCTCCTCCAGCCCTTCTCTCCCTGCTGGGAGGGGCCCAACCTGTAGAGCTTCGGGTGCCACCCAAGAGTCGCTGGCCAGGGGCTGCTCAGGGGCCAGGGTTGGGACCTGCACTTTAGGCTCCCCACCCTCCCCGGCACATTTGGGGTTCAGGTGCGAGGGCATCTCTGGGGCCCCTGGGGCAGCCTGGGGAGGGAGGACTGACCTGCCTGTTTCACAAATGAGAAAAGCAGTGGAGGGATGGGGGGAGGGAGGTAAGTTCCAGAAGGCTGTCTTAGCACCTGCTGGGAGGGGGCAGGGCCAGACAGCCTGGGTGATCCTGCCCTTAGGCCCTCGGCCTGTGAAATGGGATTCCCGTTCTGTCTTGGGGCTGCTGTGTGGTGAGATGCATGGTAATGTGAGTGTCCCAAGCAACAGAAATGGCTCTGCTCCCGGTGCCAAGCACAGGGAACCACTGTCCTCAGTCTCCACAACATGAAGGAGAACCTCTGCCCACCGAGGGAGCCCTGAGCCCCGAGCCTGCAGCTGGACTGCGATGGGGGAGAGGTGGCCTCGGACGCCACACGGGGCCAAGCGGGAAGGGGCTGGTCTGCACAGGGCAGCGGGGGCAGCCGGCGGGCAGTGAGGATGGAGGAGTAGACATGGAGGACAGAGCAGACGGGTAGGTCAGGATGGCCAGCTGGAGGGATTCTGGGGACTGGGCCTTAGATGGAGTGAGGAGCAGCGGAGGCCCTGAGAGTGGAAGGAGGCCTAAAGAGAGGTGGCACAGTAAGTGTAGGGGGGCAGGCTGATAAGAGACCACCTTGGGGTCCTTGTTAGGGGAGGGGAGAGCTTCAGGCCATTCATCGTCTTTTTAGCCAGCACCTGCCACCATCCCCCCCCCAAAAAAAGATATCCAGGTGTTATGGACTGAATTGTGTCCTCCTAAAAGATCTGTTAAAGTCTTAGCCCATGGAACCTGTGAACGTGACTTTGTTTGGAAATAGTGTCTTTGAAGATGTTATCAATTAAATTAAAATGAAGTCACACGGGACTCGGGTAAATCCTAATCCCATATGAGTAAAGTCCTTATAAACCAGGAGAAAAGGCACAGAGAGACGCAGGGGAAGACAGCCATGTTACACCGCAGCTGCAAGCCAAGGAGTGCCTGGGGCCACCACAAGCTGGAAGAGACAAGGGCCTGCAGAGGGAGCGCAGCCCTCCGACGCCCTGAACTGGGACTTCCCGCCTCCAGAACTGTGAGACAACACATCTGTTTCAAGCCACCCACTCTGTGGTATTTTGCTAACGAATAGACTAGGACCTCCTTCCTCACGGGTGGGTGCCCAGACCTTCCCTGCTCCAGGCCCCCAGCCCAATGACCACCACTCAGAGACGCCCTTGCCCCCAGATTTGCCCCTGCACCTGGCCCAGCCTCTGCATTGTTCATGGTGCCCGGCCCCCACAGCCTCCCATGCCAGCCCCCTGCTCACGCCCAGCGTGGCCACCCTGTGCTTTTGGCCTGGGGGGCAGTGACAGGGAGGTGGAGCCATCTGCACAGTCACTGGTTTATTCACCCCCCTTCCATGCTCGTGCGCACAGCCCTGACCACAGGCAGCCCTGCCAGCGCTCACAGTCCGCCTTAGGGGTGGGACACACCAAACCAGAGGCCGTGGTGCGGGCTGGCACCAAGAGAGCAGCGGCCTACACCGCTCTGCGGAACGTGAGAGGATGAGGAGGGCCTGGGGAACAGGCAGAGTCCAGGCAGGCCCTTAGAGACTGAACGGCGCTTCGGCCACCGGGCCAGGGAGGAAGGGCACGCCTGGCGGAGGGAATAGCCTGGGCAAAGGCATAAAGATGCAGAACACTCCGTGGGTGTGCCCGGGGTGCAGAATGGGGGAGCGGGTTAGGCCAAGGCAGGAAGGGCCTTGGATGTGGGGTGAGGCAATGGGGCACCCCTGGGGCCTTCTTGCTGGCACTGATCCAGTGCTTTGGAGGGAGGGGTTGCCCAGCGCCTCTGACCCAGGGCAAAACTTCGCCCTAGAGATTTTCATAGACCAGGCCAAACTCTCCTTCATCTTCAGATCTGTGCAGTCCCGCCTGGAAAGTAAAAAGAAAGAAAGAAAAGCAGAAGTATAGGTAGCAGAGGATGAACCTGCGCACTAAACCAGTGGTAGTCAGATGGATTGCTTATGCTGAGCTTTACAAGGAGGCCTGCCCGAGGCCCCCAAGCCCCATGTGACACAGCTCCTGCCCCCTTGCTAGCTTCTCCTCCCACTCCTATTCTCTGTGCCCCCAGCCACATGGGCTCCCCTTGCCTGCCTCAGGGTTTCCCACATGCAGTTCCCTGTGCCTGGAAGCCCCTTCCCCACCTGTTCCCTGGCTACCCCCTACTCACCCTGCAGAGCCCCTACACCCCTGCCCTGCTCTGGCCCCTCCCCGAGCCCACCCTTCACAGGCAGGCTGTAGGTGTCTGTGTGCTCTGCAGGCTCCAGGAGGGCAGGGGCGTGCCTGTCCCTCCTGTCCAGTACCCCCTGGCCTGGGACAACGACGGGCACCACCCGAGGTGGTCCAGACATCCTCGGGGTCCCTAAGTGGGGAAGCCCTGCTTCCAGTTAGACTCAGGGCTGAGTCTAGAAAGGCCTTTGAGAAGGGGAGATTCAACAGTGCCATCGTGGGCCAGGGGAGGCCACACACCAGCCTTCTCACTCCCTGCTGGCCCTTCCAAGGTGCCGGGACCCATCCAGCAGTCATGGGCTCCTGTACTGACTTAAGAAACCTTTGCACTCGGTAGTGTTCAAAGCTCTGGCGTAGACATTTAACTTGGGACATCTGAATTCAGGGATGGTTGGTACTGCAGGAAAACACCACTCATCATTGAACAGAAACTAAGGTTTAAGAGATAATGTGCAATTGAGTGACACGCCTGAGTCCTGTCATGAGAATAACCTCACCAGGTCAGCTCTGGACTTTAGCCAGCACCCGCCTGGGGGCGGGCTAGAAGCGCAACACCCCTGCCTGATTGGCCAGTGTAGACGCAGCACTGTGCCCAGTGGTAGTTACGACTGCTCACTCTGCAAGGGCGCCTACCGGGTCCCAGGCACCCCCTCAGCACAACATCCAATCCTCATGGTAAATCCGAGGTGGTACTGATAAGCTCTTCAGTTTATCAATGAGGAGACACAGGCACAGAGACTTTAGGTAACTTGGCCGGGGCTGCCCAGCTGGGAAGTGGTGGAGCAGGAATTCAAACCCACCAGTCCAGCTACCTGTGCTCTTAGCTGCTGGGCCAGGTGCCTCAGAGAGAGGGCTCCAACTCAATAGCAGGTGGGTCACTCACATGGTCCTCTTTAAGCACCATTTCACAGATGAAGAGACTGAGGGTCTGAGGGATTAGTAAAGGAGTCAGGCTTGGGCTTGCTGCCCACTCCTGCATACCTGGGAGAGGGGGCTCCTCGAGAAGGGCAGGTTGTTGGCTTCGCTCTCGATGCATGCGTAGACCTCAGTGTCACGGCGCTGCAGGTCCTGCAGGAGACAGGGAGGGAGGGTTGGGGCAGTGCACACAGAGCAGTGCCTGGGCCCTGGCTGCCTGCCGGGCCTCCCAGCCTACTACAGAGCACCCCACGAGAGCCCAGGGGCAGGCAGAGCCCATGGGCCGCAGGCTGTGAGGGGATGCCCGCCCTGCCAAGCCATGCCATGCCGGTCACACCTGCCGTTCCTTCTCTCAGGGTCACCCCGCCCTTTGCCCCTTTGGGCAGTGCTGGATCCTCTCTGCACCCCTGCCACCTCCTTCCCCCCACCTCAAGGACCTACAACAGCTCCTGCGCTCAGCCCTGTTGGACTCTATCCGGGATTCCACCTGCTGGCAAGGAGAAGGCTCCAGGCCCATGTCCACTGTCCCTGCCTGTCCCCAGGCCCTTGGGGGCCTGGCAGCCAGCAACCCCCAGCCATGACACCTGCGGCCACTGCTCCAGCAGGAAGCCCTCCTGGCATCCCCCTCCTTCCCCTGGCTCAAAGTCCCTGCCCCTGTGTGGGCCCCCCCCCCCGATCAACAGCCTCTAGGCCTCAGTGGACACCCCCAGCCCAGCCCGTGCTCAAAGATGACCTTGGCACCCTCGGGTCAAGCGCCTTCTCTCCCATTTAGGGCCCCTGGAGTCCTGTGAGGGGTTCCGGAGTCCAGCCTGGCCTCTCAGCATGCCGCCTCCTGCTCCCTGTCACTCTTCTTTCACCCACGGCAGCCGGCGCTCCTGAGGCACCTGGCTCTGGCCTCACCCTCCCATCACCCACTCTCTGACCACAGTCCTCCTACAGTCTCCTCTGGGGAAGCCTGAGGGAATGGGTGAGCCCCAATGGGGTGGGGGGGACCGAGGCTCTGGCCTTCATGGCTCCCCGCACTGGGGGCGTGTGAGTCACCACTCCCCACCAGCCTCCCTCTACGGACAGGAGCTCCTGGAGGGCAGGTGCCTGCCTGGTTTGTGGCCACGTCCCTGCACCTACTACTGTGCTCAGCACAGAGCGAGCAGCACCACATGGGCCGTGGGGAGGGGGCTCCTCACTCACGTGGGTGTGTCCGGGGCCACACTCACTCTTGGCCCTGATAGGAGGCCGCTAGATGGTGGAAAGAACCAAGTGAAGTCAGACGAAGCTGGCTTCAACTCCCGGCTCCGATACCTGCCAGCCTCTGTGTGCTCAGTGTCTTCATCTGTCAAATGGGAAGAACCACAGCTACCTTGCAGGCTCAGTGCCGGATTAAATAAGATACTGTGCATAACGCCCCCAGGACAGGGTCTGGCAGACAGTAGGTGCAGAACAAGCAGCTGTTGAATGATCATCAAGGGAGAGATTGATGCCTCTCTCCTCTGTAGGCACAGCCCAGATCCTCCCTCAAATCCTGCTGGGCCCAGGGTCCCATGTCGGGGCCGCCAGAGCAGAGCCCACAGCCAGCCTGAGCAAGAGTCAGGAGCCTCCTTCCGTGTGTGTACATGTCATATGGATGCCGGCTGGTTGCCAAGGAAGCAGTTTCCCTGGCAACAGGCAAGCAAGGGTTGGAGGCAGGCTGGAGAAGCAGGTAGTGCTCAGAGGCAGGAGGAGGGAGGGAGGAGGGAAGGGAGGTTGGAGAGAGGCGCCGAGAGGCAGCTGGGCGTGGAAACCCATGTAATCAACCATTTGGCCCTTGGGAGACCCTCATGTCAAGAGCATCAGACACGGAAATCGCGAGGTGGCCCGGGGACCAGCTCAGGGGGCCTTCTGGGCCAGAAAGAGGATTCATCGTGAGAGAGGGGTTTCCTGACCTGCCTCCGAGTAGGGGGGCAGGGCCGCCCCAAGGAGAAGCCCCATTTCCAGTGGAGGGAGACTTCCAGGGCCTGCCCTGGCCTGTCCCACCTTCATGCCCACCAAACACCAGGCCCCCCTCGAGCCTGGCACATGGGGGTGGGGTCTAGTCCTCAGACTCCAGTGTCACCCGCCCTCAGCAGCTGGACCCACACCCACAGATCCTCCGAGAGACCTCTGAGCAGGCGGGACATGTCTGGTCACAGAGAGGAGGGAACTGTCCCTTGGCTGGCATCTAGGGTGGGGGCAGTGGATCAGGGTCCTGAGAGGTGCTTCCCTTCTCCCTCATGTCAAGCTCATGCTGGTTGCCCGCCCTCCACATAGTAGCCCAGAGAGGGCCCCCCCAACCGAAAAAAAAAACCCATTGCCATTGAGTCGACTCCAGCTCATAGTAGAGTTGCCCCATAGGGTTTCCAAGGAGTAGCTGGTGGATTTGAACTGCCGACCTTTTGGTTAGCAGCAGAGCTCTTTAACCACTGAGCCACCAGGGCTCAGCCCAGAGGTATCTAAAGCCACACAGCTCTAGGTGGCAGGGCCAAGATTGGACCATAGGCCTCCTGTCTCCAGCTGGGTGCTCCCACTGTCCGGGCAGCCTGCGGCCAGGGGAGACGAAGAGGAGAGGAGCAGCCTGCCCAGAGCAGGGCTCTGACCCCGGAGGGCAGCCTTGAGCTGGGGGTGGGGCAGGGAGGCTTCGGGGAACAGCTGCCGCCAATTAACAGCTGCTGAGTGAAGCCAGTGGCAGGTCCTGACCTGTGGTGCTGCGTTGGTATTCAGGGTGTGACCTGCATTTCTAGGTTGAGATGCAGGGTGCAGCCTTGTCAACAGGACACCCTCGTAGGCGCTAAACCAGACCCTCCTGGCCCTCTTGGTGGTGGTGGTGGTGGTGGTGGTGGGACGGGGTGAGGGGGGACTGCTTTACTCGGTGTATGGATGCAAGAAGGCTGCCCAGGCCTTGGAATGGGCTGTCTGTGATGCTGGGTCTGGGCCCAGAGCAGAGTGGGATGGGGCCGGGGCTGGACTGGGAAGGACTAGGTTGAACTGGGCTAGGCCTGGGGCTTGACTGGGCTGTGCTGGGCTGGGCTAGGCTGGACTGGACCAGGCTGTGTTGGGCTGGGACTGAGCTAAACTAGGCTGGGCTTGTGGCTGTGCTGGGCTGGGACTGAGCTGAACTGGGCTGCGCTTGTGGTTGTGCTGGGCTGGGACTGAGCTGAACTGGGCTGGGCTTGTGGCTGTGCTGTGCTGGTCTGTGCTGGGTTGGGCTGTGCTGTGCTGTGACTGGGCTGAACTGGGCTGTGCCTGGGGCTAAACTGGGCTGGCCCTGGGGCTGAACAGGGCTGGGGCTGGGCTAGGCTGAGCCTGGGGCTGGGCTGGGCTGGGCTGGGCCCTGGGCTGGGCTGGGCTGGGCCTGGGGCCCATCTAGCCCCAGACCAAGGC